AAATCTTACACATAACAGATAATGATCTGGGCCGGTGGCTTGTGTTCATGCAGGGAACACAAGGGCATCCTTCATGAAAGCATTATCCTAAAAAGCACAAATAACACCAGTAAAGAATACCTATTATTTTCCTTCTGACTTATGGTAGATGCCAAATAGTATGATTTATGCATTCAATACTCACTGGAGAGTAGGCTAGAGGATTGTGGCAATAACATGCATGTTGGCAGTGTACATGTCTTTGCCCTGTGAGAGTAAAAGGAAAACTTAAGCAGACTACCACTTGCCATTCAAATATGAAATGAAGAAACTCTCTAAAAAGTCTCAAATAAACTACAGCTGATATAAAATAATGTGAAAAATGTTTTATACATGTGCTCAAACCTCTTCATAGACGAGTTTCATGCAGGCATTTCCCATCTACAAGAGAAACAATCAAAATAGCTAGCACACACACAAAAGTCTAAGCTCTTTAAACAAAGAAAACGAATAGCATAACGTTACATGCAAATGTTACTACTTGCATCTACCTGACCGTCAATAAGTACATTTATAGACATTTTTAGACTTTAATACGACTATAGACATTTATATCTATTAATATATTAAAATTAATTGACATCGACTCTTAGCTAATCATTTAACTATAAATGTTGCAACGTTGCACATTTGCTGAACAAGAATAACTTTAGCGATTATTTAACATACCTCTTATTCGTGTCGCTTCTGTTCTGATGGCTCATACTGTACAGCCTCCCCCTACTGGACGCATCAGGAACAACAGGGGCGTAAAACTGCCTGCTCCAGGCCTGCAGCCTCCCCCTGCTCATTATAACACATCTTTTGACTCCATTCACAGAAAATCTTTTAAATCACAACGACTTTTCAGCTTTCCCTAAGTTTTGGATCAAACGCTTTATTATTATTATTATTATTATTATTATTATTATTATTATTCATACATCATTAATACATAACATGTGCACACCACAAACAGTATGCATACTGTATTAGAGCGCCATCTAGTGACATATCTAGGAATTCAACATTCAAAGAATTCTGAAACACAAACCAATACAGCTGCTTTAGGATCTTTTTGCTAAGTAAAAAAACAAACAAACTACATAACATGAAAACTGTGAATATATGACTATGTATGATGAACAACAGATGTAATCTAGACTTTTAATCACATAAACATTGATACAAATGCAATACAAACATGGTAAACCAAAGTTCAAACATGCTGCCTTGATATTTAAAAAAAAAAAAAAAGTTTTCCAAAACTGAACAATGAAGATCTTTATACTCACAAGTGATAGTAACATTAAAGCTCTTAATGGTGTCAGTACTGCTGCTGTTTCTGCTGCTGGTGATCTGTAGTTTATAGAGTCCAGAGTCTGTGGTTGTGATGTTCATGATGGTCAGAGATCCAGTCTGATGATCCAGCTTCAGTCTGTCTCTGAATCTCTCAGTGCCATTTTTACACTAAACATCAGTACAGACATATCTGAGATCTCCACTGATTTTAGCAATGTGAGTGTCATTACAAAACCATCGAATCTCTTCTGTATCAACACCAAAAACAAATGAACAGATCATTTTAAATCACTTCACGGATAATAATAAAAATAATAAAGTTCTGGACTCCTTTTTAATGGTTAAAATAAATTGTATTAATCAAAAAGCATGTCTAATTAATTAAAATCATGAAACTTAAACAATTTAATATCAATTTATTAAAAGTTTAACAAATATTACGTTAAGGGCCCTATGACATGTTTCATTTTTTCCAACCTTATGTTTTATTGTTACCAAATTCTGTTTTAGCATGTCTAATTATAAAGCATAAAACAAGTTTCATTTATTCTTACAATAGCCTTATGATTTTTCTGCTCAGAAATTCTGTATTGTATATTTACATTTTGTTTTAAGGCATAAAACATTCATTTAATCTATCTTTTAA